AAAATAGTGCAACAATGAGTATAATGATTTCCAGTTGTCTATATGTTAAATTATAAAGAGAGATGGTGCCAGTTGTAATTATGTATTGGGAAAATTGTAGCAACGATCTCTAGATGCACCTGAGATCTATCTAGACAAAAAATGTCCAAAACACCGTCAGTTGACCTGGAAAATTCATTGAACTATCTGTTATCGCCACGATTTTATTGGATGTTGATACATTTTTGGACGGTGTTTTTGGATGCTGATTTTATAAAATTTAGATGTTAATTTAAGTAAAAGTTAACAATTAATTTTAACAATATATTTCATGGTATCTACAATTTTTAATTATATAATTTATCAAATTTTTTTTTTAATCAAAATCTATTAAAAATTTGATTTTAATCCCCATCAAAGAGGAGCATATTATTTTATTGTATTTATTACATGATTTTTGAAAAAATTATTTAAAACTCTTAATTATAAAATATGATTTTTATAGTCTAGTAATTGTCTATTTTTCTCATTTGATTTAGTTGTACAATGAATGGGGGGGTTCGGGTTGCGGGCGTACAGGAGACCGTTTTTCTTTCTTTTCACTCTTTTGGTTGTTTTTCATATTTTATTTTTATAAAGATTATGGACTTTTATGCAATTATAAGGATTATGGACTTTTATGCAATTATAAAGATTCGGAATTATGACTATCTGAATCGCAATTATGACTCAAATTTGGAAAACTCTTTTCAGCGTGCATGTCATGGTCACCTAGCCACGCTGGTGGGCGTTGTTTTCGAGGCCAAAATCCAGTACTTTTTCCCTCCGAATTCCCATTTTAATTATTTTTTCCAATTTTAGTAATAATTCATTTACCGTTTTTGAGATGATTATGATCCGAATTTGAGCTAGGATTTTGGCAAGTTACTTCTTTTACTACGTAGTTTATTTTGGTATGATTATTGGGATTTTGCTATTTTTGATAAAATTCCAATAATGTCATTTTTCGTTAGCTATATATAGCTTAGCTTGTGGTTTGTTTTTCGGCATTCGGTATTTTGAATAATATTGAGTTGAATTTCAGATAAATCTCTCTGTTGTTTGGACATTTCTTTTGTGAATCATCTGTGGTAACTAGCTTGCAGGATAATCATTATCCTGTCCGGCATTAATATATGTTAAATTATAGAGAGAAAGAGAGGTGGTGCCAATTGTATATTATATATTTTATATAACTCATGTTTGGTGAAAATTAAAATTTAGATTTTAATTTAAGTAAAATTTAACAATTAATTTTAATCATATATTTCTTGGGATCCACAACTATTCAACTACATATTTATCAACTTTTATCAAAATACACCAAAAATTTTATTTTAATCCTCACCAAACAAGGACAATTATTTTATTGTATTTCCTACATGATTTTTGAAACTATTTTATAAGACTATTAATTATAAAATATGATTTTTATAGTCTAGTAACTGCGTATTTTTCTCATTTGACTTAGTTGTATAATGGATGGGGGTTCGGGTTGTATAATGGACCTTTTTCCTTTCTTTTCACTCTTTTTGCTTGTTTTTCATATTTTCTTTTTGTTTATCCTTTTCGTTTCTTTTTTATTGTTTTATGTTATTTTCTTTTATTTAAGTTAGAGGGCAAATCATCATTTCTGTCAAAATATATATTTTTTATAAAAATCATTAAAAGGAACCAAATTTTCTCATTTATTAAAGGTTCAGGACAGAAACTAGACAAAATGGTCAGAAATAGGTTTACAACTTCTTGACTTTAAAAAATTTATTTTTTCCAAAAAGTTATGTTGTTCTTTGGAATGAGGTATTAAAAAATATTATCAACTTGCTTCGACCTAAAACAATAAACTCATAATCTAGATTTTAAATCAATATTGAAAAACAATTTGTTTAGGTGGTTATTTTAATTGAGCTGATAAGAGTTTCTTTGGTTAAGCCTAATAATTTTACTTACAAATAGGTAAGTTTCAGAACAAAAATAAGTTATTTATTTCATCAAGAAGTCATAATAGCTTTAAATTAAGTAATTATTTTCACTTAAAAGTAAATAAATGGGCTGTTTCTAGTATTTCAAAAGAAAAATGCTATTTGTACATCGGAATTGACACACCGGTGTACACTTCTCTCACATGAGAGAATGACCCCATGACTATAAATAAATCATGGGATTCCTCCATGTGAGGAAGTGTACACCGGAATATCAACCCGACGTACGTGTAGGAAACTCATTTCAGAAACATCATAGGAGGTTCCTGAAGCTGACAAAATCTGCAGGGAGGTCAATGAAATGAGCAATTTTGGACAAGTGTTTGGCTTGGAATAATGCAATCCAAAGCTCCACCAACTCCAACAAAATGCCACTTGTGAGTTTCTTGATTTTACTAGTAGCTTTCTGCCCTGGTCCCATCTTCATCATAAGCCTAAGAGTAGCCCTTTTACATAATTATAATTTTGCACTTATCAACGCCAGCCATCTGAGGAAATTTCCTAGTAGAAATTAAAAGTGGCATCTTTTAAAACTCTTCACGGTAAAGGTCGTCTCTTTATCGTTCATAATTTAATATGATCCTATTTAAAAGGTTATCCTTTTATGCTTTTATCATCTATCCTTAAAATATTTGAATATTTAATGATAATTGAATTGGTTTCAGAAAAAATAGAAAAAAAAATCTTAGACGAGTAGTAAGACATCACGATTCTTCTGGAAAATTAGAATGATTAGTCGAGACGAAAAAAGAAAATGTATTAATTTTTTTATCGTAACTAACGACAGAAGAGCACATCAATTTGATCCTTTGTTTTTAAGGTGGTTTTGGCCTGACGACTGAGTTGATCTAGCAAGCCATGTACTAGAAGTTGACTTGGTCTAATTGAAAGACTGAGAGGGTGTTTGAATATCATTTTTATAGACAAATGAATTTTTAAATAGTAAATTGATGGAAAATGCGTGGATGAGAAAAATAAGAATTTTTTTTATTTTCGTGTAATATTTTTTAATTAAGAATGTGTGGTTTAAAAGAAAGAAGAAAAAATGTATTTTGATAAAAATAAAAATCAAATGGGGTCTAAATCAAACAAAATTAAAAATTTAGTTAAAATATATATATATATATATACACACACTATTTTTTATCCGAAGTCTTCTATCTTCTTTAAAGATTCCTCATTGTATTTGCCTAGAAATTACCAATTAGAACCACCCACCATTAATAAATGAATGAGGGGACAAGACAAGGCCAAATCATTCCTCAATTCACATACCAACAAACAAAGTTTCCACCCAAACCCACATCTCTGATCATTCAAGCTTATCCACAAATCAGCAAATCTCTTCATCTTCTTCAATTCTGCATAGTTGAGATGTTGCAAGTGTTCTTTGCAGTGGCATTTTCTGCAGTCCCATTGACCCTTTATATTCCTCCAATCAGAAGCCTGAATCTGTTCGTCGAAATCATAGAGGATATATGGAGGGAATCAAGTTTTTATACTGGTAGGATGTATCCTCGTTTGAGGTATGCTAGTTCTAGGATCTTCAATTGTATGCTTTGTAATAATATTGGGTAGACTTCGATCATCAGGCCCTTCTTCGTATGGACTCCTCCAGTATTAGCAACCGTTTTAAATCTCGAAATTTTATAGTTGGTTCGTTTTTTGTATCCTTACTATGCTTCTTTTTAGTGTTTGGGAATGGTTTATGTGGGAAATACTAGATAGCTTTGCTGTTGGTGCTAACAGTTCTTGAGGGGTTTACATTAAGATAATTTCTGTACATTCCGAGAATGAATAAAAGAGAAATTTTCCGTTACAGTAGATTTACTTTCTTTTGTTTTGATAACTTTTTTGTTCACACTGTTCTTTCTCCTTTCTTATCAGTTTTTTTTATATTCCCTAATTCTATTATTTCAAAGGATTTTTCAAAAATTGGGAGAAAATAGATATTTGAGGTAAATTGACTAGTTACCATTATAGAATGTTTGGTAAGTAGGGTGGACAGTATCGCAAAGAAAAATTAAAATCTAATCCTTTCGACTATCCAATCTTGACAAGTAATACGTACTAGAGGATGTCCAGTCCCTGCAATGCTGATAAGACTAAGCATGAGAATATTTCGAGTTTAGGTGTTCATAAAGAACTATACTGGTAAGATGCCAGACGGACGGATCAACCAACAAATGATAGGCTGGAGAGATGGGTTCACTCGACTAGTTAATGATCCTGGGGCCTAACTAACACAGATTTCCCTGAATTAGCATGTGAAATGAAGGATCATAGGATCACTTGAGCATTAGAGAAGATTTTCATCAGGGTCTTAATCAGAAAGCCCAAAAAAGGGACAGGCGAACCGTCTAAAGTAATGGGATTTGGGCTTGGCTAAACCAACTGGTTGAAGGTTACTTCTCTCAGCAGTCAAATATGTAAACAGATGCATATAGGACCTTTCTTGAGTTCCTGCAGGTTACGAGTTATTTCATCCATGAAACCTTGTGATTTGATATAAATGGTGGCGTTTATATTTTAGGAGAGTGGCACGGCCAAACATCATCATAGAAGGGAATCAGCTTACAAGTGCTCAACCAAAGTCTAGCCCAAGTTCTGTCTTGATCAAATTAATAAGCTTGTTAGGTGCCAAGCAAATTATATAGGGTTGATTGTTTCTTGTGAGTTTGGTTGTAGGCATATTGTTTAACCTTAAGACTGCAGGGCATGTATATTGAACTTGACCACCTCCAGGCATGGCTTTGTTCATGTCCAATTCCTCCTCGTCATTTAATCCATTTAAAACAAATGCAGATACTTGAATTAATTTATTTTGTTCAGACATTAGTAACAGTGTAGATACAAGGTCCACCACATCAATACAATGCAAAAATGTCAATGTAACAAGTGCCAGCATCGATGAAAGAAATTTAATTTATTCAGTAAAAACTAGTTTCAAGTAAGAATAACTAAATTTTTATTGCATTTTACGTCGAACTACAAAATGAATCAGGAATAGGAATCAAGATGAAACAAGATAATTGTACAAGTAACAACCAAGACTTGTGGAAAACTGAAAGAATGAAAGAATGACTAAATAATTTGCTCTATGAATACTCTGAAAAAATCATTTGACTAACTTGAATTGGTGCAAGGCTTTAAGAACCAAAAAACATCCAAACTTCTTGCTTCCTTTTCAGCTATTGCAGCAGCCACATCTCTTCCGTGGTTGTTCTTGTCCCTTAGTTCGTCACTTTTATCCTCCTTGTTGATTGGTTTGAGCTCCTGTAGAATTCCTCTCTCCTGGGGCTTGTCATTCATGTGATTCAGTTAGTAATTTATGCTGGTGTATGCAAGATTTTGAGTTCACTTAATGAACAAGAAATATTTTGGTTTCTTTTTCTTCCTTAATAATAAACATGCTAAAACGTCCACCCGTGGAGATTTAGACGGTATAAATCTAGTTACATTTGATTGGCCTAAAGTGAGAGAATAAAATGAATTCAGTTCTCTGCATATTCAATGATAAAACAGCTTAATTTGGATGATTTGAACATTTTTTATGGAACACTCATGCATACCTGTGGTTTCGACCTGTAAGACTTAGGCGTGGCTTTGGTCGGCCCACGGCTGGCTGAGAAACATTGTGGAGTTGGAGGAGATGTGCGAATTTGCAACAGGCTTTCTTCCTCTTTGCGCTTAATGTTCTTTACATCCACAGATAAGGGAGTATTCTCTGCGTCATCATTTCTTCTGCATCAAGCATACCAAAATGGTTAGCTCTCAAACAATATTGAGATTATTACACAGCCCACAGATCATATTTGGTGGTCGAAAGGGCAGTCATGAGTTCATGCAATGGGGCAACAACTAATGGACACTTAATGTTCTTTACATCCACAGATAAGGGAGTATTCTCTGCGTCATCATTTCTTCTGCATCAAGCATACCAAAATGGTTAGCTCTCAAACAATATTGAGATTATTACACAGCCCACAGATCATATTTGGTGGTCGAAAGGGCAGTCATGAGTTCATGCAATGGGGCAACTAATGGACACTTAAATTCTGGCTGTATGCAGGGGCGGAGCCAGCACTCGACGAGGCCCTGCCGGCCAATTTTTTTTTTTTATATTGGTTGGCCACTTGAGCGGTCGTCTAACGTTAATGTCCATCTGTGCTCACCTGGATCCATGGATTTGCCACTGACTATATGACTAGTGTGTTCCAAACAAATTCATTTAGTGAATGTTTGTTGCACATCATAAGTAGGATGGGATCTATCTATATGTAGGGCCCGTTTGGTAGGAATTTTGAGAATTGATTTTTTGACCGTTAGAAGAAAAGTGGAGTCTACATGTGAGAGAAGAAGTCAAAAATTACGGCTTGAATAGTAAAATAACGGTAAAAAAATCAATTTTTTGGAGCAAAAAATCCCTACCAAACGGGGTCATAATATACAAAATTATAGCTTTTTTTCCTTTTTATTATCGTTCCTAACTTCCGTACCATCACAAAGCACGCTATTATGCCTATATGAATCACCGTTTGTATTTATATGCATGCAGAACCAATAAGGAACATATAGATTATAGAACAAGAAGAAGAAATAGAATAGAAATTTACTTTTTCCTTCTTTGCTTCTCTTTTGAGTTGCTCTTCACGGTCGCTTCACTTTTCACTAGATTTAATTGAAGCAGTGGTTTCCTTTCCTTTTCTTTATCGTCCAAATCTGGTGAATTCTCTGCATTTCCTCCATTCACATCTTCCGCGCCATCCTTTCCCCTTGTCGCCAGTTTCTTCAATTCATTGCAAAACTCTGCAACCTTGTTCAGTAGATCTCCTCCAGAAAACAAATTCCGAGCTGACAATGTACTTTTAAGCCTTGGTGCTTGATTTTTCGTTGTTATGATATCATCAGTCAATTTCTTCCTCTCAGCGCTTGATTTGATCCCCTCTTTCATCCCATGACCTTTGCGATTAGAAGGGGTCGAAAAATTGGGATCTTGATTTTCACTATCATCAAAATTCCTATTATATTTCGTGTTTGGTGATATGAATGGTTGGTTAACCCCTCTCTTCTTCAGTGTTGCATCTCTGAAATTGGAAATGAGGTCACATTCTAAATTACACATGAATAACAGTTCAAATTGTACTGCTTAGAGCTGGGTTTTTAATCTGTACCTTTTATTTTTGTCGCCAAATGGAAGAACTTCAGATACACTAGCTGATCTCTGAAGCTGCACAAGCATCATATAATGATGAAAATCAGACATAAAAATGAATCTGAATTCATAATTGAAACTCAAAAACAATGATGAGGAATGTGCCCAATAGACAAACTATTTCTCTTTTATCTTCCTACTATGAAATTTATATTCTGAGAAACTTTGAGTACAGAATTTTCATTTTCAATCCGGGATATTTTTTTTAGGATTTCAAACTCATTAATTTAATCGGATGAAGAACTTACCCAAATTGTACCCATATATTTTGCCTCAAATTTAACCATAAAGATCTGAGAATTATAAAATTTCGACGTCCCAAAATTTTCTTGAAAATCAAGCACTAAATTTTACATAAATCAAGGAAAAAGAAAAATGAAGCAATACGAACCTTAGAAATGGAAGTAGGAGTCCTGTCTCTCTCTTTAAAGAAATCTTCAACTGTCTTCGGATGATTACAACCTATAATCAAGAAACGAACAGAATCATAAAATTATCAACTCAAGAAACAAGAAAATCACAACCCACATTTGCCCTCTATCTATAGAACAAGGCAGTGTGTGAGTGTGTGTGTGTGTGTGTGTGTGTGTTTTGACTTACTGGGTCTGCAGAACCAGGCCTCATCGTTAATGGCATCATCGGGAACGGAGAAATCGATCCATTGAGGGGCATTGATGTGCTCATAAACCTCATCTGTCACAAATCTTGAATCAATGTTTTTCCAGTCTATTACTGCCACCTCCATTAAAACTTAGTTATATATGGATAGCTTGAAAATTGATATATACAATTTACAGATGAAATTTTTCTTTATAAACCGATATCTACTGAACCTCAGGTGAAAGCAGGATATAGAACAGTAATTTTAGAGAGAGAAAGAGGGAGTGACGAGTGAAGAGGAACGTTACTTTGGCGACAGTGTACCGTTGAGTGGGAGGGAAGGGGCTTATTATTTTTGTATTATTAATTACTTTTCGACCGTTGGGAATTTTCATTCTTCTTTATTAGTCTTGGGTAACTTGTTTGTAAGATCTGGTCCACATGTAAGCTCAACTTTTTCCTTTTTCTTTTATTTCCAAAAATATATTTGATGTTACAATAGATCCTAATTGGATTACTTATATAAAGAGAGAGAGAGAGAGAGGAAAAAAAAAGAAAAAAAAAAAAAAAGGTGAACCCCGACCGAGAGATCCACCATCTAGCCCCTAGAGTATTGTGAGGGAGATAAATTTCGGAATGCGTCTCAACATGTCAGGGAACAAGAGATTGCTCGTACACTGGTGTCCACAAATAGTTCAATTTCGTATCTCAAAAATCAAACCATCACACTGTAGCTGCCAGTAAGGTTAAGACTACCTCACTCCTGTCCTTTGCACCACTGAAAATTGTCCCGGGGCATCCTAATTGGATTACTTAGATTTTATTCCAAGTTCTTCAAGAACAATTTGATTCAAAGCATGTCACAAGCTCCATTTTTTGATTATTACAGTGCTGAAATTTACTTTAGCAATGTACCAAGAAATTAATTTGTTTCTTCCGATAAACATACAATGGTGATACAGCACAATCGACATTGGTGTATCCAAATACCCTTTTTAGGGTAGTCAACGTCGCTTTTAGAGATTTTATAACTCTATCAAGTTATGGAGTTTAATTGGTGCATATATTTTGTTCTTGACATAGCAATAACTTCTCAAATTTTTCAGTATGGAATGACGTAATTCTTATTAATTTTAAAAATGCGAAACTAAGCAATAATTGTTGATAAAACATATACATTGAATTTGTTATAGATCATAATATAGTGATTCGATTGTCACACATCTCGATGAAGCACCCTTTCGTAGGTTCAGTAAATAAGCCTTCCATCTCCATGTCTAATAACCTCAAGGCAGTCTTCCCCACATGTGCGGCCTTCAAGCTAAGATATGCAACATAGCACTATATAAGGACATAGAAAGCTTGCCATCATACCTGAATAAGGGATATCGTTAGTGCACTTCCGAAGAATACAACAATAAACCCGCAATTCGGCGAAAACACAAACATTAGGCCAAATATCACGATATCATCTATAGGTAGACACTATAAGTGGCGAACAATCAGTGTCGATCTTGAGTGCTACCTGAGTATAGACATAATAGTTAGCAAGTAACAATGTGCTCTAGCTAGATCAATTGTTGGCTCAGTTAGAAATGGACAAAAGTTACCAGAATCATGGAAATGAACAAAGATTGTACCTAAACCTATTTGTTTGGGAAATGAATACACTAACTCAAATTCAATTATTATGATATTATTTATATATTCGGGTAAATGGATACTTAAAATTACATCAATGTAACTTTAGATCAATAAAAGGAATGGGCTCCTTTCGTTCCTTCCAAATTAGCACTCTTTTGACCGCTCAATGTATAAAGATAATTGAAGTAAAATTCAGAGATGTTTTCAATAACTCGTTTTAAGCCAATAATATTATGATTTTAGTTAACTAATTGATGTATAAATTATGCATTTAGTTAAACTTGAAAAATGTAAATTATAAACATCAACATAATTAATAAAGAGGTTTGGAGGATTTAGATACTTGAATAAATATAGCTTAAGAATATCTATTGATGGGCATTTCATTTCAGCGATTAGTGAATTTGGAACTGATTGAGGTATTGTACTTAGAGATAGAATTAATAGTTCTCTTTTAAGGAATCCATTAGTACTATAGTGAATTCAATTTTTTAGGAATTGAACCAAACAATGCTGACCCCTAAGGTTAAAGCTAAAAACCTATTGTTATTAATTTAAATTAACATATGACTAAATAAATTCACAATAATTTTTTTTTTTTTTGTGCACCATATTTTAATTTTATGAAAGGTCCAAAATCTTTACTCATTATTATACTTGTGTCTTTAATTTTTTCATTGTATCTGCCTTCCATAATTAACACATCTCACTTTAATTACATGTTAAGTTAAAAGATTTCTCTAAAAGGGCGCAAAAAGACTTACTTACCCCTTTATTTTTTGTTAGAGAATAACGAGATAATATCACAATATGAAAAATAACCCGACTAAAGAACACGAATTTTTTCAAGAAAATCCAAGACTAGAAAAAATCATGGGCAGAGGAAGAGAATTCATCGATCGATATATGGATTGTTGTTACAAAATTCGATGCTCTCAATCAAAGTATAATGTTGTCTAATGCTATGAAGAGCAAACAACACATGGAGAATATGTACAACCCTTATTATAGCATTTTATATGTAATGGGCATCTTAAAATTCGTCAAAATTGAGAATAGGCTTAGGCTGGATAAGAGGTCTCTACAAAGTCGTAAGATCATGTATGGGGGCTGATGCCTACCCAGTGCCGGAAGGTCAAGGAAGTTGGTGCAACACGATCGCTTGAGCGATGTTCATCATGCGTATCGAGCACCAAGCTCCTAGGCAGAGAATGGTGAGCTCCCTGTTGTGAGCGCTCGAGTAGAAGATGAGTGCACAATGAGCCAAAATATGACAACTTCTTGTTCTATCTTTACACTTCTTCAAAGCCTCTTTAACTAAACCACCTATACCCAATGAAATTCGGTTCACATTTTAACAAATCTCCCTCCCTTACACAAATTTCAATGCAAGGAATTACACATTTCTCTTCAACAAAGCAATTCTCCGCCTTTTCCACACAAGTCCCTAAGGGCTAATTCAACAATAAATACGAATCAAGTCCAAGCAATGCTCAAACTTGCCTACAAAGAGTGTCTTTGTCAACATATCAGAGGGATACTCCTATGTATTAAGCCTTGCTAACTAAAAAATCACCACGAGCAATCACATCACGCACAAAATGACACCTCACATCAATGTGATTTATCCTCTCGTTAAATATATAATCGTTGTTAGAAAAATAACACTCTGATTATCACAAAAAACTGTAGACATGTAGAAGTCATTACTTATTTTACCAAATAATCACCTCAACTACATAGCGTCCTTATAAGCCTCTGTAATAGAAAATACTTTGCCTTAGTAGCAGATAATGCCACTATATTCTGTAAAATAGCCCTCCAGCTGATAGCACACCACCAATGGTAAACACATACCCTGTAAGAGATCTCCTTTTATTAATATCTCCTACAAAATCTGAATCAACACGCCCAATGACTCCATATGTATTCTTCAAAAATACAAAAAAGCATTAGTAGAGCCTCGTAGGTATATGAAAACCCACTATATTACTTCGCAGTGTTCCTTGCCAGAATTTGCTATGTATTTGCTAACTACATTGACTACATATACTAAATTTGGACGTATACAAACTATAGCATACATGAGCGATCCAATTGCACTTGAATAACGAATTCGTGACATGTAATCAATGTCTTCATCTGACTATACATACAAAGCAGATGACAGTTCAAAGTGGGCAATTAAATGAGTACTAACAATCTTTGCATTTAGTATATTAAACCTATAAAGTACTTTCACAATGTACCATTTTTTACTCAAGTATAATCTGCCAGCCTTTCTATCTCTCAAGATCTTCATTCCAAGGATCTTATTTGCTACTCTGAAATCCTTCATAACAAACTCTTTACTGAGCTAACGTTTCATATTTCTTATCTCTGCTTTACCCTCATTAGCTATCAATAGAGTAATAGATACATAGACGACCCATCACTACACTTCATAAAATACACACAACTATCATAACTACATCTTTTAAAGTCATGAATGAGTGAAACGTTTTATACTACTATCTTGGTGACTGCATCAGGCCATAAATGGATTTCTTCAACAAACATACATAGTCCTCATTTCCTGTAACTACAAAACTATATGGCTGTTGCATATAGATGTCCTCCTCAAATTCTCCATGCATGAATGCTATCTTCACATCCAACCGCTCAAACTCCAAATGATGCTTAGCCACAATACAAGCAAGCTCTAATTGAGCTATACTTTACAACCAGAAAAAGTGCATCTATGCAGTTTACAACTGAAATCTGACTGTAATCCTTAGCCACCAATCTTGCCTTGTACTTGACATCTTCAACTCTTAACGTACCTTCTTTCCTTTTGAAAATAACATACAACAAACAACCTTCTTCTCATTGAGTTATTTCACTAATTCCCACGTGCCTTTCTTATGAGATGATTCCATTTTCTCTTGCATAGCAATCATGAATTTGCTAAAATCATTCCAACTTACCACTTCTATGTATATAACATCTTCTTTACTGGAATCAATATTTTCAGCACATTCCACCAAGTCAGCTTTTCCATATTCCTTGGAGGTCTAATCTCTCTTCTGAGTCTATCTTTAGCTATTGAATACTACGGTACCACTGGTGGTGGTGGTGTCAAAATAGTATGCTCATTTACTTCTGAAATAGACTGAATTGATAGCTCTAATTTAGATCTCAAACCAACCTCAAACTCTACCCGAGTCCTTTGTTTTTGTTGAGTTGTATTACTAAAATCCCTTGGAAGTAACTTTTGAACCAATGTATGTTCATCAAACACAACAGATCTCTTAATAATCACTTTATTTGTTTCTAGACACCAAAATTTATATCCTTAACATTGGATTTATAACCAAGGAAATTGCATTTTGTAGACCTTAGCTTTAGTTTTTCATTATCTACATGAGCATATGCAAAGCACCTAAATATTTTTAAATTTGAGTAATTAAGAGGAGTGCCAAACTGAACTTCTTCTGTAGTCTTTTTCTTAATAGCAATTGAGGTGAACGATTGATAAAAAAGTTGTAGAAGCAACTTCAGCCCAAAATGTCTCAGGTAACCCATAATTTGAAAGCATACAATGAATTTTGTCAACCAAAATTCTATTAATCTGTTTTGCCACACATTTCTTTGTGGAGTGCCAAGCATTGTCAAGCGCCTCAAAATCAATTACAGAAACTATTAAATTCA